CTAAATGGGGGGGGGGGGTATCACCCCAAGTCATAAATTACCAACCGGGAAAATTATTACCTTTGCCCCCCCCCCCCCCCGACCCAAGACCCCTGTTACGCGTCTGCTTATAAGTGGGGCCCCCCACTTTGAAAAACGTTCCGCCGGCCCTGCAAAGTACAGTAATAATAAACATCACCTCAGCCACACTCCTCAATATGTATGGTACAGTCTGTTTGTTTTATAAATGTACTGCAATGTGTTTGTTTTTAATGAAATCGTAAACCACTATTGTTTTATAACTTCTAAAGAAAGAAACTGGATAATACTTTGTTCTGCCGATAACCAGTATCGCATATTGGCCCCGCGTCCATTTTCCTCAACCATCGTCACGTTTTCTTTTAGGTCAGTGGCATTACTACATAACATGATTATCACATCTGCTATTAGCATGTCTGTCATACATTTCTGAAACAAAAAAAAACAAAAAAACATACATGTAAATTTGAACAGCCGGGAAAAATTAATATCATGATCTGCCTTAGCTCGACGCCCTTAAAGAGACGTGGTCAGAAAAAAAATATTTAATTATTTCAAAAGAACGAAATAATAATATGTGGAAACAAAATCAATATTTCGAAATATTGATTTTATTCTATGAAAGAAAACTAATATTTGTAATACTGTATGAAGTCAAACATTTACCATCTTACACGCCATACAGTACTATACTATTAAAATATTGTCAGTGCCAAGTATAAATTGGAATTGTGTTTTTTTTTTGTACACTATTTATAAGGTTGTTAGAATTCCGTGAAAATACACAAATGTTAAGTCTTATCGATGTTTTTTTTTTTTTATTTTACAAAGTACCTTACGGTATGTATCCTTTATGTAATTAAAATAATTATTTAAAGTCGGATATTTTTGGTCAGATACTTCGTAATATAATATATCTTTAATGCTGTAAATTGAACCTACCTTCGTCAAAATCAAGAGACCTCGATTTAGCCCCATATTGTTTCTGGTTGCCATCTCTGATATTTGTCTGGCACTAAATTGTGTCAGTGCATTACCTTTCGCAATCCCTTGCTCAGTTGCAAAATGTATTGCGGTCGTTGATACGCCATCTTAATTTTGCTGCTCCCACTGAAGAGCATCAAATGCATGTGCCATTAGCCCTTGTGGCATATCTTTTTTCCCCACTTTTTTCTTATTAAGAAAAACGCATCAATGAATATGTAAATCACGAAATAAATAAGGATGAATTAATATTTATGATATTGAAATACAGTACACGCCTAATTAAATAAATAATCAAACATTTCAATTGCGGAACATAGCATGCAGTTTTTGTTTGATACAACCGTGACATTAATAATATAAATCAATATTTTGCAAAATGTGTATCAAATAAAATTAAATCATCAATGATTAATTAATCAATTAAATAATAAGTTAATTAATTAAATAGATAGGGCCTACATTTCGAATGTTTTATTAGAAAAGGTGTGTTCCATGCTGTCATTTATCAATGATTATTAAATGCTTATCTTCGAGTGTTTACCGTCTATTGTTTCCTCCAACAAATCGTACTATTCCTCCTCTAATAACCATTGAAGGCTCATGAAAACTATATAAATAAGATAGAATTAAAATTGAAGTTTGTAACTTATCATTTCCATAGTTTACACAGATTCCATGGGCTACGCATTTAACGTACACATTAGTAAAAGGCCCATTAGAAAAAAATACTAGTTTATAATCCTATCCAGGCTAAAAAAAAAAAAAATTAGACAGCACGCTTTTTATTTTCATTGTCCAAAAATCAGCCTTGAATAATTTGCTTGCGTGCAGATATTCAAAGCATAAATGCACAGCGACATGTTTATGTAAGATGATTCTAGTATTTGTTGGTATTACCGAATATGGTGTACCGGTACAGAGTAGAAGAGCGGGTTAAGAGTTTTGTCGAAAACAAAGTTTTCGGAATTAAATAAAAGATGGAACACTGATGAAAGAGGAAATATCACAATGCATAAAACTATTATTTTCCTAAACCACCGATTGTTTCAAATGCTTGCCTGGTTTCCCATCTTTCAACAATCCATTGAAGTGCATTTGAAATAGTTGCATGGCTTTGGAGTAGCATCGTTCATTATAAAGAGCCAACTGAAACGTCGGTTCTAATGAAAATATAACCTGTAACGGAAAAAAATATTCTATAACAACACTTATGAAATCGATCATCATCTGCCATTCTAAGTTGACCATACACCCACCATTTCTTACTTGCAACGCCTATATATTCATCTAACTTTAAAACTCGTTCCAAAATTAGACTATATGTCATAAAGATTATAAAAAATATCTATTAGAGATAATGTATTAGGCTTTCTTATAGCAAGCATTTCAGTAAAGCCAACCATCATATCATGAACCTTCTGTTTATTTTAATAGATACAAGTTTTAAATCCTTCCCCGCCAGAGACTGTTGCGAATTAAACAGCATAAAGAATTAGGATTTTTTTCAAGATTATACTTTTATTATTTAGCTCATTAAGGAAACTCATTAGCTTTTACCTTCTTTTTAATTTTCTTAGGCAACTGATTGAGATCATAGGCCTTTCATTTATCTTATCTTCTATGTCGTTAACATCCATTATTATCCGCCTTTAATTATAGGCCTATGTATCATTACGATTATTTTACCAGTCGCTACTAAACTG